AGAGTAAGGGTCTTCAAACTTGGCCCTTTTATGACTTGTGGACTTCAACTCCCAGAATTTCTCAGCCAGCATGCCTGGCTGAAGAATTCTGGGAGTTGAAGTCCACAAATCATAAAAGGGCCAAGTTTGAAGACCCTTGCTCTAGAGATCCTTTATCATCTTTGTTGCTCTTCTCGGCACTCCTTCTAGAGTCTCAGCATCTTTTTTGTGTCATGGGGACCAGAACTGGATGCAGCATTCCAAGTGTGGGTCTCACCAGTGCAATATAAAGTGGTACTCTCACTTTACAAGATCTTGAAATTGTTCTCATGAGTTTCCTTAACCTTCTCTTCTTTATCATTATCCAATGATATATCTTTCTATATCATTCTATATCAGTGAATTTCCCTTAAACTCGAACAAATCTGCAACTAAGAGTCCCCCTGGATGTTACAGTAACAGAGTTGGAAGGTACCTTGGAGGTCATCTAGTCCAACTCCCTGCTCAGGCAGGAGACCTTTACTATTTCTAACAAATGGCTGTCCAGAACCTTCTTAAAAGCCTCCAGTGATGGAGCACCTACAACTTCCGAAGCAAATTTGTTCCACTGGTTGATTGTTCTCACAGTTAGGAATTTTCTCCATAGTTCTAGTTGCTTCTCTCCCTTGATTAGTTTCCATCTATTGTTTCTTGTCTTGCCTTCAGGTGCTTTGGTAAATAAGTTGACCCCCTCTTCCTTATGCCAGTCCTTCAAGAATTGGAATACTGCTATCATGTCACCCCGGTCCTTCTTTTCACTAGACTAGACATATCCAATTCCTACAATCGTTCTTCATATGTTATGGCTTCTAGGCCCTTTGTTGCTCTTCTCTGAACTCTTTCCAAAAATCTCAACCTCTTTTTTTGCATTGGGGTGACCAAAACTGGATGCAGTATTCTAAGTGGGGTCTTACTAAGGCTTTGTAAAGAGGTACTAGAACTTTGTATGATCTTGATTCTTGTTGTTGTTAGTTGCAAAGTCGTGTCCGACCCATCGCGACCCCATGGACCACGTTCCTCCAGGCCTTCCTGTCCTCTACCATCTTCTGGTAGAGGACAGGAAGCTCACACCTACTGCTTCAGTGACTCCATCCAGCCACCTCCTTCTCTGTCATCCCCTTCATCTCTTGCCCTCAATCTTTCCCAGCATCAGGCTCTTCTCCAGTGAGTCCTTCCTTCTCATTAGGTGGCCAAAGTACTTGAGTTTCAACTCCAGGATCTGGCCTTCTAAAGAGCAGTCGGGGTTGATCTCCTCTAGGACTGACCGGTTTGATCGCCTTGCAGTCCAGGGGACTCGCAGGAGTCTTCTCCAGCACCATAGTTCAAAGGCCTCAATTCTTTGGCGCTCAGCCTTTCTTATGGTCCAACTTTCACAGCCATACATTGCCACTGGGAAAACCATGGCCTTGACTATACGTACTTTTGTTGGCAGGGTGATGTCTCTGCTTTTTAGTATGCTGTCTAGATTTGCCATAGCTTTCCTCCCCAGGAGCAAGCATCTTTTAATTTCTTGGCTGCAGTCCCCATCTGCGATGATCTTGGAGCCCAGGAAGATAAAATCTGTCACTACCTCCATTTCTTCAAATAGATCTTGATTCTATCTCTGTTAATGCAACCTAGTAGTGCATTGACTTTTATTGGCTGCTCAGCTGGTCAACCATCAGCCAGTTCTGATCAGCCAGTCAACCATGACCTGTGTCTGCTATTCTACTCTATTTTTCCAACCAGAAAACATTTTGCATTTGCTGGCAACGAGCCAGCTCAGTCATCACTCGGCTGCTTTGATTATCCTCTCCTTCTACAGTTCTTCCCATGAAAGATTTGACAAATTTCCAGAAGCTGTGGTGTTTCTGCTAAGCTTTCACATTTCACAAGGAATAGTATCTTAGCTATAAGCCTTGGCACTCAAACTAAGCAATGATAGCTTCCTATCCAAGAATAGATGCAAACCCATCCAAGGAGAGCAATCCAGAAATAACTGACCGTTACAGCTAACCGAAAACTATATATAATAAACTGAATTCTTTTTTTGATATTGATGTCAATATTCTTATATATGTCAGTGCCTTGGGACCGTCATTATTTTTCGATAGCCATACAGGATAAGTAGAACAATGACAGGTAAGTCCTCGACTTAACAATGATTTGTTTAGTGACCATTCAAAGTTACAATGCCACTGAAAAAAGGGATTATGACCGTTTTTTACGCTTACCACTGTTGAGCATCCCCATGGTCACGTGATCAAAATTCAGAGGCTTGGCAACTGGCATGTATTATTATTATCATTATTGAAAAAAGTGACTTATGACTATTTTTCTCACTTATGAGACTGTGGCAGCCTCCCCCTGGTCAGATGATCAAAATTTGGACACGCGGCAACTGACTCATATTTACGACACTCGCCGTGTCCCAGGGTCACGTGATCTCCTTTTGCGACCTTCCAACAAGCAAAGTCAATGGGGAAGCCAGATTCGCTGAAGAAACCACGTTACTAGCTTAACAACTGCCGAGATTCACTTAACAACCGTGGCAAGAAAGGTTGTTAAATGGGGCAAAATTGGCTTGACAACTGCCTTGCTTAGCAATAGAAACGTTGGGCTCAATTGTGGTCATAATCAGAGAATTACCTGTGAGTCTGCAGGACTAAATCAAACAATTTAAAACAAGAAAAGCACGTGTACTTTTCACTTTAAACCTCAGTAGGCCACCACACACACACACGCACGCGCACACACACACATGCTAAACATGTTTCTACGGTATCTGACCACCTACCTGGGAAATTAAATCTGTTGTAATAGAAATAGGTAAGATAATTAAAGTGATTTCCATATGCATAAGACTCTGTAAAAAGAGAAGGGACTAGTTTTGCCTGTTGGCTGCTAGCAGTCACCCTGGAAAATGTAGTCTGAGGTAAAATAGGTCCCTATGAATTTCAGAATCAGAATCAGAATAGAGCTGGAAGGGACCTTGGAGGTCTTCTAGTCCAACCCCCTGCTCAAGCAGGAGACCCTGTACCAGGGGTAGGCAACCTTGGCTCTTTTATGACTCGTGGACTTCAACTCCCAGAATTCCTGAGCCAATATGGCTCAGCTTGGAAACCTCTCCCTTTCCCCTCAGCATGGCTGGCTCAGGAATTCTGGGAGTTGAAGTCCATGAGTCATGAAGGGGCCATAGTTCCCCCATGCTGGCTCAGGAATTCTGGGAGTTGAAGTCCACGAGTCATAAAAGAGCCAAGGTTGCCTATCCCTGCCCTATGCCATTTAAGACAAGTGGCTGTCCAGTCTCTTCTTGAAAGCCTCCAGTATTGGAGCACCCACAACTTCTGGAGGCAGGTTGTTCCACTGAGCAATTGTCCTCACTGTCAGGAAGTTTCTCCTTAATTCCAGGTTGCTTCTCTCCTTGATTAGTTCCCATCCATTGCTTCTTGCCTTGCCTTCTGGTGCTTCAGAAATTTAATAGAACAGAGCTCGTGATTCACCCATGAAATGTAAGCAGTTTTTAGACCCCGAGCTATTTCTAAATTAAGTGGAGAAACTAAAGAAAAATTGTCCAGCCGTAATATTGCAACGTCTCTCTACACGTGGAACTTTTGTGTACAGGTCATCCTTGACATCCAACCACAACGGAGTTCCACATTTCCGTCGCTAAGCAAGACAGTTAAGTGAGTTGTCCCATTTTAAGTCCTTTCGTGCCAAAGTTGCTAAGGGAATCACTGCAGTGAAGTTAGTAACACAGTTGTTAAGTGAATCTGGCTTCCCCATTGACTTTGCTTGTCGGAACGTCGTAAAAGGAGGATCACGTGATCCCAGGACACTGTAGCCGTCATAAAATATGAGCCAGTTTCCAAGCATCCGAGTGGCCCTGGGGATGCTGCAACAGTCATAAGTGTGAAAAATGGTCATAAGTCCCTTTTTTTCACTGCCGTTGTAACTTCGAACTGTCACAAACCGAAAGGTTGTAATTCAAGGACTACCTGTACATTGTAGAATATCCAAGTCCCATCTAGATAACAATACAACTTTGACCACTATTGCGACTTATAACAATGATAATGATAACAAAACAGATGCTGTCATGTCCACTATCCAGTGGACAGCAGAATAGAAAAGAAAGAACTGGAGAAGACCGCAAAATATAAAAGGCCTGCAAATAGAAATAGAACGACTGTGGCAGAAGCAAGCAAAGGTAGCACCTATAATAATCCTAGGCTCCGTGGGTGCAATCCCAAAACAACTGGAGCACCACCCGAATACCATCGGCATTGACAACTTCGCCATCAGTCAATTGCAAAAGGCGGCCTTACAAGGAATGGCTTCCATCCTGCGACAGTATTTGCAACACCATCAAACCTCCACAAATGCCTATCCCAGGTCCTTGGGAGGGATTCGATACGTAGATCAAGATGCCAAACCCAATCTGAACATCTGGCTGACTGCGACAAACAACAACAACAATAATAATAATGATGACTTTTTAGGAGGCGACAAATGAAAGAAGAACAGTGGTGGGTCAGGAAAGAGTTAATTGCTTGCCTCTACATTGCTCTTCCTGAGTCACCCCCCCCTCACAATACTTCCCCCCCAAGGGTAATTGTGCATGTACGTCCATGGAAGACCTAGATAGCCCCGTACGTTCACTAGCAAAACCCTGTATGCCTCGTATGAGTCACGTCACTTGGCTGATGTTCCTCTTTGGTTTCTCATCACCCTTCGGAAACATTTAAGCAATGTTTACGAAACAAAGCCTAACGCTTTCTTTGGCTGCCTGCTCTTTGAGAGACCTCACCGGCACCCAACCCTACAGCCCTTTCTCGGCGTATCCACACGTGGGTAATGTCTTTTGACCTTCGTAGCCAAGTTCCTACCGCACCGTTCCTTCGATTCTTAACGTTGCATGCCGATTGCATGACCGTGGGATGATTGCTTGACATTCTGCTGCTGGAGTAATCTCCTTTTAATTTGCTGTCCTGTTCTTGCAGAACATCTGTCTTCTAATGCCAGCGATAGCGAAAGTAGCTACAGTAAGTTATGGCATTTCTTGGGCTCTTTTACTTTGGCTTGCCTCTTTTAAGATTTGGTTTTTTTTTTTTCCTTTCTTTCCCCCCCTCTCCTGGGTTTCTCTTTCTTTCGTTTTTTTGCTTTTCAGATTTTAAAAAGATTGCGCGAAAGTGTCAAAAGGTTTATTTATAACGGGCTGCAAAGGCGCAGTCACTTCTTATGCACCTCTGAAATGGACCTGGTTTCCTCTTTGTCAAGGCCCTGCTGAAAATTAATGGAGTTTTATAATTTAGGTCTAGCAATCAACGTCTAAACGTCGCCTTTCAAGAAACTGGAGCAAACCACTTTCAAACCCAGCACATGATTAGCAATGATACTTGCAGGGAGTGAGCGGAGTCTGTCTGAACAAAAAGTTCTGTGTGCCTTGATACATTGGAGGACACAAAATTGTAAGGAGGTAGCCTTCAAAATCGCCTCCTTTGGAATGCTGAACATATATGGTTCCTGAGTTAGAAGCAAGGCATTTTATTGACTAGAATTGACTCTATCTGAGCAAACGTATGAGAATTTATGGTATTTGTTTGTATCCTGCCTTTATTATTTTTGCAAATAACTCAAGATGGCAAACATATCAGAACACTTTCTTCCTTCTATTTTCCCCACAACAACAACTCTGTGAGGTGAGTTGGGAACAGAGAGTGACTAGCTCAAGCTGGCTTTCATGTCTAAGGCAGGACTAGAACTCATACTGTCTCCTGGCGATTGGCCAAGTTCGCCCATCTGGCTTTCATGCCTAAGGCGGGACTAGAACTCACAGTGTAAACCAGGGGTAGTCAACCTTGGCTCTTTTATGACTCGTGGACTTCAACTCCCAGAATTCCTGAGCCAGCTAAGCTGGCTCAGGAATTCTGGGAATTGAAGTCCACGAGTCATAAAAGAGCCAAGGTTGACTACCCCTGGTGTAAACTGTAAACTGGCATTTACTTAATAGTGGTTGCCTAATAACTGCTACAAAAGAGGTTCAAAAAACCAGATGGGTGACCTATGTTATAACCGTCATGACTCACAACCATGACAGGCAGGCTCCATTACGGTCATAACTTGAGGACTACCTGTACAGCTGGTGTGGAGTTCTAGAACAGTGGTGGCAAACCTATGGCACACGTGCCAGAGGCGGCACTCAGAGCCCTCTTTGTGGGCACGTGCGCCATGCCCCGGAGATGGCAACCGCCCCTCTTCAACCAGCTGCCCGCTAACTCGCCGAGGTCCCACGTGGCCGGATGCATCCCAGCATGGCTGGTTTCCCTCCCCCCTGTCCCATCCCTCCTGGCCTCGCATGCTCTCCTTTTCCAGGGCATGACCCACTGCATCGCCTCCTCAGCTGTCGGCCATCTGTCCAGTTCAGAGGCGCTTCTCTGAACTTCTGGTGGCGGGCTGCAGAGCCCCAGAGTGTGCCGGTTGAGGGGTCGGCAGGCTGTGGCTGCTGACAGATACTGTTGGCCCCCATGCGCTCGCTGGCCTCTGTGTGCAGGGGCCGATGGTGTCAGGCAGCAGCTGCCCCGACCCCTGCTTCGCCTTGCCCTGCGACAATGGCACCCCCGCCCTGCCATGCCTTGCCTCGCCTCACCCTGCAGGACGAGCCTCCTGCCCATCGCCCCACCTGCCAGAGACCCCCTGGATCTCCCCTAACCCTGCCCGGCCCCCACAAGCATCCCTCCCCATGAGCAACATTGAGGTGACCACGCCCACCTTGGCCACACCCACCCAGTCTGCCATGACCACCACAGCCACACCCACTTAGTGGGCCACACCCACCTGGCACCCGGTGATAAATAAGTGGGTTTTGGGTTGCAGTTTGGGCACTCGGTGTCTAAAAGGTTCACCATCACTGTTCTAGAACAAAGTTCCTTCATCCTGTCCCGTTCATGCATAGAGTCTCCCCCAGGTTCAAATCATGCTCCCCTCCAACCTTTTCCCTCATTTAATCTGTCTTCAACCCCCTGCTCAAGCAGGAGACCCTGTACCAGGGATAGGCAACCTTGGCTCTTTTATGACTCGTGGACTCCCAGAATTCCTGAGCCAGCATGGGGGAACTATGGCCCCTTCATGACTTGTGGACTTCAACTCCCAGAATTCCTGAGCCAACCTGGCTCAGCTTGGAAACCTCTCCCTTCCCCTCAGCATGGCTGGCTCAGGAATTCTGGGAGTTGAAGTCCACGAGACATAAAAGAGCCAAGATTGCCTACCCCTGGTCTAGCCAGATATTTCCTTCCAGCATCTGTCGTTCTGATTTGGGAATCAGAGCACAGATAATAGAGGAAATCTTTATGCCAACTAACATGTCAGAAGCGGGAGGATTCCTGCCTACCTTCTTAAGCAAGGCCAGACCAGTTTTAAACATTTCAAGTGTCCTTTGAGGGTCACCGAACAACTCAAGAAATGAACCATTTTTTTCTCTATTTAATTTCTATTGGTGCAGCCACAGAAGTGGAGAATCCTTCCTTGCCACAATTAAATAGCATCTCCACAATTGGGAATTATCTGCAAAGTCATCTAATCATAACAGAATAACAGAGTTGGAAGGGACCTTGGAGGTCTTCTAGTCCAACCCCCTGCTCAAGCAGGAGACCCAATATCGTTCCAGACAGATGATTGTCCAGTCTCTTCTTAAAAACCTCCAGTGTTGGAGCACCCCCATCCTACTTCCTTCTCAGTGCTGATTCATCCACTAAGTCAGTATTTCATGTCTTCAAGATGCGTGGACTTCAACTCCCAGAATTCCCCAGCCAGCATCAATTGGGAGTTGAAGTCCACGCATCTTAAAAGTCATCAAGGTTGAAAAACAACAACAACAACAACAACCCACTGCTTTAGATCATGTCTGACGCCTGTGTATCCACGCTATTTGTAATGATAAGTCACAGGGTAACTTAAAACTTTAAGCCGAGGTAGATTGCTTGAAAGCATTTAGGAGTAACTTGTACGTAAGCATACTCAAGGGAGTAAGTGGGACCTTGGGGAGCATTTTGGAAGCACTGTGTCTCAATGCTGATTTTCTCTCTGTTTTCTTCTCTCATCAGGAGGACAAGAGGACTGCATTCTCTCCTATGAACCCGTAACAAGGCAGGAAAGTAAGCAAGCTTTGGTATCTGTAGAAATTCTCAATTATCCAGGCCATCTCTATGGAGATTCTCAGTCATCCAGGTCATACTTGTCCCAAAAATGCTTTTTTTTTTCTCACGAGGCAACTGGACTTTCTTGTTTTTCTTTGAAGACGTTTCACTTCTCATCCCAGAAGTTTCTTCAAATCTGACTGGATGGTGGGGAATGGAAAAATTTATACTCCTTGAAGAAAAACTGGTCATTTGCATTCTTTTAGAGCAGGGGTAGGCAATCTTGGCTCTTTTATGACTCGTGGACTTCAACTCCCAGAATTCTGCAATTGCGAGCCTGCAATTGTAGTCGTACGTTGTGACGGTCGTTCAGTGGATCATCACACGACTGTGCCTGATTTTACAACTTTTTTGTGGCAGCCAACCTTTAAGGGAGCCCATTGTTCCCTGTGGGTGGGGGTTTTTTTTGCAGAAAGACGAAGTAAATCGCCAGTTTCCACCAAAACCGGAGGGGCAAAGGAGTCTTAGGCCCTCCAGAAGATGCTGAACTACAACTCCCAGCATGCCCCCTCTTTACCATGTTGGCTGAGGTTGCTGGGGATTGAAGTTCTCAGAAATGTCTGGAGCAGGGGTAGGCAACTTCGGCTCTTTTATGATTCGTGGACTTCAACTCCCAGAATTCCTGAGCCAGCCATGCTGAGGGGAAAGGGAGAGGTTTCCAAGCTGAGCCATGCTGGCTAGAGGAATTCTGGGAGTTGAAGTCTACAAGTCATAAAAGAGCCAAGGTTGCCTACCCCTGTTTTAGAGAGTCGTTGAGGCCACCTGGAGGTTTATCTGTGCAAATGACCAGCTGTCTGCAAGGAGTATAAATCCTCCCATTCCTCACCATGCCGTCAGAGCTGAAGAAGCTTCTGGGATGAGAAGTGAAACGTCTTCAAAGAAAAACAAAAGGTCCAGTTGCCTCGTGAGAAAAAAAAGGCATCTTTGGGATATCCAGGCCATGCTTGTCCCAAAGGCAAACCTCCAGGTGGCCTCAATGACTCTCTAAAAGAATGCAAATGACCAGTTTTTCTGCAAGGAGTATAAATCTTTCCATTCCCCACCATCCGAGAAGCAATAGAACTGAAGAAGCTTCTTGGATGAGAAGTGAAACTTTTTCAAGGAAAAAAACACACCAAGAAGGTCCAGTTGCCTTTTGGAAAAGAACTTTTGGGACACGCTTGGGTGTGCTTCTTAGTCAGTTTGGTCTAACTATACCTAGCTCATTTTTACAGTAAAATCTTGGGCTGCTAGTAGGGTTGACAACTATTTTACATTGCAGATCAGAGGTCCCCAACCCCTGGGGCTATGGCCCACTACTGGACTGTGGCCAGTGGTGGGATTCAGCCAGTTTGCACCAGTTCGGCAGAACCGGTAGCTATTTTTTTTTGTTGGCCAGGCCCAGAACG